GAGAGAGAGAGAGGGAGCACCAGGCTCCACTGGTTTACTGTTGGTAATGGGATTAAAAAGCTCAGGAAATTGGGAATGCTGGAGTCAATTTGCTGTGTAAAACTTACTGTACTTTGGGAAAGTGCATGTGATTTAACCTTCACTAATACTTTAAGAAGACATTTGTGAGAAAAATCTTTGAAGAGCTCTATCCTTTCTCTTTTCTCTATGCCAGAATTTACAATGGGGACCATAGCCACTCTGTTAGGAAAATTAAATGTGATGGGTGTAATTGGATCCTGCAGTGTCAGGAGACAACTGGAAGCCCTCAACCATCAAAGGCACGGTGGGTGTATGGAGAAAAATGGAGAGCAGAGCAAAGCAATGGTCAGGATGGTTTGATGTGTTGATTTATGGCGTTGGCTAATTATACACTAGTGTTACCATAAGTGAAATGGGTAGGAAATTTACTAAACTATACTTATCTCTATGAGCAGAAAAAAGCATGAATTGGAGCAAAGGAAATAATCAGATCTTTTAGAAACTACTGAACACTAGTTCTGAGCTGTCACTGATTCCAGGAGATCCAAACCATCATTGTGGCCTACCAATCATGGAGGTCAGGTGATCAATGGATTCTTTGCTAAACTCCAACCCACAGTGGGGTCCATGGGTCTCCAAACACATCTTGTGGTCATTTTCACAGTCCTAAAATGCTTAACTGGGTTACAAATACTTAGCACTTGGCAGAATTTCCACATTTATTCTTCACCCTGTAGAATGAAAGCTGTTTTGGTGGAAAGGTTAAATGGAAGCCATTAGAGCTGTGTTGACCACGGAAAGAATGAAATCCAAAATGATATCGTATCCCTGGAAAGATTACAGAGATTAGCGTGACTTATCAAGGTCTTGAAAGTTGCCAGGATGGTAGTTCCTACCATGTCCCCTTCTCATTCTCCCACTCAGCCTGTGCAGAAGACAGCTAATTCTCAGAGAACGACAGGGGGTTCATGTAAGTTTAATCAAGTGATGATTCTAATTGTAGGGGCTCTACCAGATGTAGTTTCCTTGTTTAATGAAATTAACACAACTCCTGGTACTTGGTACAAAGCTATTGATTTAGTAAATGTGTTTTAGCCATACTTATGCATCAGGCCTAGAAGAACCAATTTGTTTTAAGCTGGTAAGGCCAGCAATAAACTATAATTTCTACCTTAAGTCTGTATCAACTCTCCAGCCTTGTGTCATAACTCAGCATGCAGGGAATTTGATAACCTTGTCTTCCACACAGTATCACTGGTTCATTACATGATGGCAATATGTTGATTGGATAGAGTGTTTAAGAGGTAGCAAT